CTTTTTCATGAATCAGGTAAGGAAAGCAGCTTAGCTCAGTGTTGTATGAGTGCCCCCGCGTTCGCCCGCTACGTGAAAAAGTATAACATGTATGATCAAGCTTTTGTTGCATATGTGCGCCCAGTGAAAGAGGGTGAAGCTAAAGAAGAGGCAAAATCCCATGAGATTGAAAATTTTTTGAAAGAATTCGCAAATGTGGCGGAGGGCCCAAGCGGTGTGGTAGAACGACCAATCAAACATCGCAGTGAAATCATACCAGGAAGCTCGATTCCTAAGGGGCCTATATATCGGATGTCACCTAAGGAGTTAGATGAACTGCGAGCCCAGCTTGATGAATTGTTGAAAAAGGGGTGAATAAGACCTGGCTCCTCGCCCTATGGTGCGCCTGTGCTATTTGTGTCAAAAAAAAACGGCGACGTACGCATGTGTATAAATTATAGAAAACTTAATGATATAACAATCAAAAATGCTGAGCCATTACCAAGGATAGACGATTTGTTGGATCGAGTGCAGGGTAGCAAGTACTTCACTAAGATTGATCTGAAGTCTGACTATCATCAGATTGAGGTAGAGCCAGAGGACCAATATAAAACTGCCTTCCGAACAAGGTACGGGCACTATGAGTTCGTAGTGTTGCCCTTTGGTCTTACAAATGCACCCGCAACTTTTCAAAGGACCATGAATGAGTTTTTTCGTGAATGGCTTGATAAATTCGTTGTTATATATCTTGATGACATTTTGATTTTTAGTAAGAATCTGAATGAACATTGCGAGCACCGTCGACTTGTGCTAACTAAATTGCGTGAGGCAAAGTTGAAATTAAACCCGACGATGTGTGATTGGGCCAAGCGTCAGGTTTTGTATTTAGGGCATGTACTTTATGGTGATGGGATCAAACCGGAAGATGCGAAAATTGCAGCAATCCGCGATTGGCCTAATCCCCGCACTTTGACCGAGTTGCGATCGTTTCTCGGGCTGACCAACTATTATCGGAAGTTCGTTGAACACTTCACGATAATTGATGTGCCCCTTTGCAGATTGCTTAAGAAAGAAACAATCTGGAAGTGGGACTCAGACTGTATGGCTTCATTTAAGCGTTTTAAAAAATATCTGATTAATTACCCGTTTTTTAAGGTTGCTGACCCTTCCTTGCCCTTTGTTGTTACTACCGACGCCAGTCAGAACGGGATAGGTGTTGTACTCCAGCAAAATGATGGGAATGAGTACAGACCTGTAGAGTTTATGTCCCGACGACTGCCTAATGAGAAGGTCGCCGCTTCCACGTACGAAAGAAAGTTGTATGCTCTTCGGAAGGTTTTAGATCATTGGCGACACTATCTCTTAGGACTCTACTTTAAAGTGTACTCAGATCATGAGACACTTCGTTGGCTTAAAACCCAGGCCCGGATGACACCTAAATTGACCAGGTGGGTTGCAGAGATTGATCAATATGACTTTGAGTTAAAGCCAATCAAGGGTAAGTACAACGTTGTTGCTGACGTGCTAAGTCGAAGATCTGACTTTTTCGGTGTCGTTGTGACATACTTAGATATGGGCACCGACTTGCAAGATAAAATTAGGAATGCGTATTCCACAGATCCTGTATACAGCGCTATGGTTAAACATGTGCAAGAAGCGCCACACAAGTTTCCTAACTACCGAGTTACGCAAGGACTGTTGTTTAAGCAAACAGACGTGCATGATAGGCTTTGCATTCTAAATGTGGAAGAGATCAAAAGCTTGATCTTGGGGGAGTGTCATGATACTGAAGGCCATTTTGGATGGAAGAAAACTAATGCGGGCCTATTGCGTTCCTACCCATGGCCTCGCATGAAAGCCGACTGCATTGCATATGTGCAAGGTTGTTAAGTGTGCCAAAGAAACAAGAGCACCACTCAACCTCCCCTTCGACTACTAAAGCCCTTGCCAGTTCCAACAGGTCCAGGGGACTCCGTATCCATTGATTTTATGGGTACCAAGGTAAAGAGCAGGAATGGAAAAACGCAAGTCATGGTCATTGTTGACAGATTTAGTAAGTATGCTGTGTTCGTGGCGTTACCAGCAGAAGCCAAGACCGACTTCTTAATCCGATAATTCTTTAACCATTGGGTAAAGGATTATGGACATCCCTTAACGATTGTGAGTGACAGAGATTCACGATTCACGAGTGAACAATGGCAAAAACTCATGAATATCTATGGCTCTAAGTTAACTATGTCATCGGGTAGACACCCTGAGACAAACGGTCAGACTGAGCAAATGAATAAGATTTTGCAACAGACATTGCGCATGTACATCCGTCCCGACCAAACTGACTGGGATGAACATTTGCCCAAAGTTGCTAGTGCCTATAACAACTCTGTTCACCTATCTACATGCAGGACTCCAATGGAACTGCATTTGGGATGGTGACCCCGTAAACCCATTGATCGCTTAAATCCGGATTTAGTTCATAAACTTCCTTTACGGACAAGTGAGTTTACAATACAGTATCAACGAGATATTGAAAAGGTAAAGGAAAATATAATGAAGGCACAACACAAAATTGTGAAACAGGCAAATAAGCATAGAAGATCATCTCAATTCGCTGTAGGTGATTTGGTATGGGTTAAATCCAAAGAGTGTGCTCCTGAGGAAAACATTTATCAGAAGTTACTACCCGCCTACAGAGGACCTCGGCAAATTCTTGATGTGATTGGAAAGGTGGATGAACCTTCTTATGTAGTTGAGATTCCTCTACATTTGCATACGTATCCGGTGTTTCACGCCTCAAAGTTTATATCTTGCATGACAAATGAGTTGTTTCCCAGTCGCAGATCGGCGATACCTCCTAGTATGGATGAGAAATACGATGTGGATAAGATTATTGTTGAAAGAACTTTCCAAACCAGATGAAGAGGCAGACCCCAGCGACAATATAAAGTAAGATTCGACTATCAAGACCTTATGAAGATCGCTGGTTACAAGAGAAGATTTACTGGAGTCTGCACCTCACATTGTATCTGCATATGAGAGAGTTAAAAGAGGAATAAATATTGTTGATAGATGAAGGTTTTCTCAGAGGACTTCGAATCTAGGCCGACGAGAGTAAAAGGGGCCTTTACCCGATCCAGCCCCTGTTTGACAAAAGCAGCATATCGGGGTCCCTCGCCCAAAACCCAATTCGTGAAAGCAGATCAAAAGACATGTTCTCTAGGTCAAAGGTCACATCCTGGCTAAAGTAAAGACAATGTCAAAGGTCATGGTTGAGCCCTGGATGAGCAGTCACCATGTTTAGATTTGGAGGTCACATTTGTTCGTCAGGGGCAATGCAAGTCATGTCTATTCAAACAAGGGATGTGTCTGTACGTGCAGTCAATGTGTCTGTTCATGCAGGAGTGTCTGTTCGTGCATTAGGTGTGTCTGTCCAGCAGAAGTCAAAGAGTTAAGTTCCAGTCCGTATTCGAATCAGAAAGAAAGTCTAGATTCAGATTGGGAGTTCAAAATCAAGGCCTAAAGGCCGCAGCAGCAGCAACCCTTGAAGGAAAGGGATTTGGGACACATACACAGAGGCTGGGACTGGGAAAAGACCAGGACAGGCAAAATTCAGACCTCGCCAGGGGAGGCCAGCACTATAAGAAACGAGGCAGCTTCCCCCACAGGCAGATTCCCAGAGGCATTGATGCGTGGAAGTGCTGAGGCACTTGTGCGCTATAGTGTAGGGAGTTGGGCGCTGAAGAAGAAGCTGCGCTGGAGAGGAAATGAGCTGGGCGCTGGCTGCAGGGAAGCCATAGCTGCGCCAACCTATGTTAGTAGTAGCCTGGTTAGTCAGTAGTGGTATATCAGTGAGTGACATTCAGAGTAGATCTTCGTAGATGAGAGTGTGCGTGCATAGTGTAGGGAAGAAAACCAAGACAAAGTTATTGAGAGAGAGCAAGAGAGAGAAAAACAGGGAGTGAGTCTGGATATGGTGAACATTTACCTGTTGGCGCCACACCTGTGATCTAAAGGAGGACGTTGGCTGGGCCAGGTTCCATGTTGTTGTATGACGAGGGAGACTTACCTCTTGTTGGCGCTGACCTCTGGAACTCATGATACTCTTTGTATTAAGTGACATTGATAATATAAGCTGCGCTACTTGGTTCTTATATCATCTCAATCTGGTTTTGTGTGAGGCCACTTTGTACGTGTGATGACATGTATGCATGAGATTTGATGCTCTCAAGCAAGCTGTGAACAGTCAGGTTCCTTGCAATTTGTAAGTCGAGCTCTCCTTCACCAATGTTTGTATCTTCTTTCTTGTCTTCTGTTATTAACTTCTAGTCCATTTTTTTCAAGTTGTTTAGTATAGAGAAAAAGCAGGCACTTCCTAAAATTCGACATTATAGCCAATGAGATGAGATTTGAAGCTGTTGAGCTGCTTATCAACAGCAAGAACTGATGGCAACGCTACCCATAATTTTCTCCAATATCATCTAGAAATGTCCTCACTGGCAACGTCCACGAATCAGGGTATTAGGGGCTCGTTCCACACTCCGGGCATCCTCGGGCCCCGAGGACGATTCCTTGGAGTCGCCCGAGGAAATTCCCGCCTTCGTTCCACTCATCCTCGGAAATGTTCCCCGAGGACGATTCCTCGGGTGCTACCGCGGCCAGTTAGATATTTCAATATGCGGACGCGGGTCCGTGGCATCGTCCTTGGTCCAGGTACTATGGGCGGCGCGAATTCGAAAGTAGGCGGCGGAAAAAACAAAAGGCTATGAAAACGGAGCGCAGTTCCGGATTCGAATTTCGAATTCCCGTAAGCGAATGACAGCGGCGTGGGTGTCCCTTACGGCTCACGGCAGCAACATTCGTCGGCGGGACCGTTTGGGTACGGGGTGGCGGCTGCATGGCTTCTGGTGGCACGCCGAACGTCCATGAATACGTCCGAAGCAGCAGGCACGCCGTGACACGATCGCCACCGTTGTCTACTTCGCTAGGCGCACCTTCATTGTTGACGTGTATGCCGTGCACTCCGGTTGTGACGACGCAGCATCGCTGTTGTTCCCACTGAAGTCGAGCCTTCTTCACTTGGCGACGACGAGCAATGGACGTGAACGGGGACGCGGTCCATGATACACTCAGCAAGGCGGAGAGGGCAGATGTGGCGGCGGTCGTGAACCTGATCCTCATTAGGTGTCAATTGCAGAGGACCGAGGGGAGGATGAGAGCGGCCATTCGCGCACGCCGGAAGAAGACGCTGCAGTCCATGCATGTGGACGAAGAGAGCAGTGGTGCCATTTGCGGCGCCGTCCTGCAGGTGTGCTATGCCATGGGGTGTGGAGCATTTTCCAGAGCGACGCCCAGGAGGTGGATGAGCGACGAACAGGGGAGGTGTGGGAGGATCTGCGGCAATGTGACGGAAGACTACTTCAAGGAGAAGCTGCGCATGTCGCCACGGGTGTTCCGGGAGATAGCGGAAGCTCTGTCTCCCTTCCTTCAACAGCGTGTCACTTTCTATAGGGAGCCCCTCCAGCCTGACCTCATTGTAGCGTACGCTTTGTACAGATGGGCGTCGGGGGAGACGTACAAGAGCGGGATATGCAGCTTCGGCATTGGCAGAAAGTCTGGGTTGGTGGCTGTGCGGGATGTGACTTCGGCGTTGCTGAGTGCGTACCCCGACAGAGAAAACGTCGTTTCTCCGTCCAGGCTCAGGGGAGGACTACTACGACAGAAAACGTCGTTTCTCCGTCCAGGCTCGGGTGGTCGTCGATCTCAACTTGCGCGTGCTGGATGTGTTCGTCGGATATCCAGAGAGTTGCCATGACGTGAGGATCGTCCACCTGTCCAGTTTATGGGCGTGCGCGGAGGCAGGGGAGCTTTTCACTGGGCCACCTGTCATGCTGCCTTTCGGTGTGCGGACGAACGGGTATCTGCTGGGCGACAACGGTTACCCCCCCTCCGAATGGGTAGTCGTCCCCTACAGCGGTCTATCACAACACCCGTCGAAGTCGCGGTTCGACAACAAGCAGAAGACGGCGAGGGGAGCAGTCGAGAGGGCTTTCGGCAGATTGAAGGGGATTTGGAGGTTGTTCCTTCGCTCCCACAAGAAGAACATGGAGACGTTGCCGCAACAATTCGTCGCCGTTTGCATTCTATACGACATACTCGTCAACGTGGGCATCCCGTTCGACGACAATCTACTGTGGGAGGTTGGGTCGGACGGTATTCGTCGCAGGGTGGACCTTGGGATGCACCGCCCGTTGAGGCAGATATGCATGGAGTCGTCAACGGGGGATGCGCTGATCCTGCGGGATGCACTGTCGGAGTGAATCGATACGCAGTGAAGATGGCCAGTCGTTGGAAGCGGGCGGCATGCAACCAGAGAGAGAGAGAGAGAGAGAGAGAGAGAGAGAGAGAGAGAGAGAGAGAGAGAGAGAGAGAGAGAGAGAGAGAGAGAGAGAGTAGAACCGACGGCAATCCCGGCTTCAGAGCGGCGGGCTGCGATGGCGTCGGTGCGGCGAGAAAGCGTGCGGATGGTGGTCTGTGTTGGTGTCGTTCTCCTTGTCGCTCCGTTTTGTGGGAGCAGGGAGTTCATCGACCGCTGCCTGTATCGGTGGGCATTGGCGTGCATGCGGCGGCTTGTCTAGCGCACTTTAGTTTGGTGTACTTTCGCACTGCGCCGCACTTAGGAGGTGTCGCCGGGTGGGGTTTATGGCAACGGCACAGTCCAATGCGTCGTCAGCGGGGGCTTCGTCACGCGCGTGTAATTGTCTGTCTTTGCGATGATTTCTAGTGTGGCGCCACCTGTGATAAAGCATTGGTTGAATCATACATCCGTCACCACTTTCCATATCAATATTGCCCTGCCAATCGTGAATGCAAATGAAAACGGAATACAAAGGAATTGATAAGAAGTTGTAGACATCATCAATAACGAACGACACAAGAAACGACAATGACGTGTGGAGGTCATCAATACCAATGAACACAAGAAGCCAGAAGGGCGCTGATCACATCATCAATAGCAATGGCGGGGGTCACATATTCGTTGTTACAGATGCGAACATCGATTTGTGACGATCCAAAAAAAAAAAAAAAAAAAGGATAATGACACACCCCCACGACGACCTGTCCGCCACAGCGATCGAACATCCATCACCGGACGTCCACCCACATGACCGATCACG